GCTGAGCAATCAAAGACTTCAGGGGATGAACGAGACTGAAAGCAAGTAAGCAAAATATGTAGGTTTTTGTTGAACCCTTCATAGTGAAAATCATAGAAAAAACTTTATTAACGAGTTTTAACATGAATTTTTACCAAGTATCGGCCAGTTCTATTCAACAATATTTTTTATTCGATATCAGCAAAGTCGGCCACTATGGTCATTAGTAGCTCCTTGTTCAGGGTTAGGTTTTGTTAATAACTTCATGAGCCACCTACATGTCATTATTCCATTCAAAAATGAAAAAAGTACTAAAATATCAGCTCGGGATAACTGCATCACCTTCAAGACAATAAATCAAAATCCAGTTGGAATTCAGTCAGGTTTGAATGTTAAAGAATAAAAGATAATGCTCACTATAGTACTGATATTTTCTTTAAAGATTATAATACATTTTTCGTTAGTGCGTTGAAAAATATAATGAAAAATATAATTTAGTCTGACAGTTCCAGTTTGAGCCCCATCTCCATTTTTGCAATACCCGTAATTGAGTAAGAAGTTTTTGATGTTGTTGAGTCTATCTTAGATAAACAAATATACTTCATACATATACTTAATTACCTACCCAAAAAACATTGATTTCAATCAATCAATTACTGTATTATATTGTCTATCGTCAATCTCATTGACAAAACATAACTGTACAATATATAACAATATATACACTGTACAAATATACAAATTTAAATATAAACTAATGGATGGTAAAAATATAAGGAATATTATACCAGAGCTCCATTGTAAAATTTTAGAAGGGAACCTCATTTAGAGGCACTTGCACTTGAACATTTGAAAACTATAGATCATGAGCTGAAACATATCGATAAATAACTTGTTACAGCCTTCACCTAAATATAAAGTTTAGTGACCTGTCATTCCAGCAGGTATTCAAAGTATCTGAGGCAGCACGAAACATACTCAAGGTGTTAATTCTTGTTTTGTTTCAGCGAGGAAAGAAAATGGCGGAAGTGGGCAGATAGTGTTCTAGTCCACACCCTGTCTCCAAACGTATATCGAACCAAAGAGGAAGCCCTGCAAGCCTTCAACTGGTTTTCAGAGGTTGGAGAATGGGAACGAAATTTTCCGGCTTGGGAAAGATATCTCATAATATACGTTGGCGCCTCCGCAATGTGGCTGATTGGCAAAAGACTGAAGAAAAGGCATAACCTCAAGGATGATGTAAGGCAGTCTTTGTATGATGAATGCAGCACATGGACTAGAGCTATCAATGCTAAAGGTAAATAATTGTTTACAGTTTCAGTTGTTTAGCACTGATTCAAAGTTTAATTTTTTTTCAGGTGGTACGTTCATGGGTGGCGATAACCCCAATCTTGCCGATTTGGCTGTTTATGGAGTTTTGAGTAGCATAGAAGGTTGTACGGCTTTCAAAGACATGTTAGAAAATACAAAGATATCCAAGTGGTATTATAGAATGAAAGAAACAGTGTTACAACATCAAGGAGCTAGGTTTATCTAGCTGTGTTCTATTTGATTTGACTTGTTACGATATTGAAGTCCAATAATATACTCTTACAGTTATTATCTTCTGTGCTTTTTATTTATCAACAATTTAGTATCTAGAAAGTTCAAAATTGTTGGGAAATTCATTTGATTTCTATAAATNAATTTCAAAGTTTGGGATCTCCAAGTTATGCATGTTGGGAAATCCCAACCTTCTCCCGGTTCTTTCCCTTTTCTTATTACCTCTCCCTTTCTTTTCTCTCATTTTTATTTATTTAATTTTCATTCATTTTTTTACTATTATTTTTTTCTATCTTCATGGCCCAAAATTTCCCAACTTTTTCCCAAGTCGACAAGAGACTCCCTCCCATCCCCCCATGGCAACAGCCCTGAGAGCAGCACTACTGAAATTTTCACAATTCATATTATAATGTTGTATTATCTGCAACCAATAACATTCTCTTTTTTGATTATAGGATATGGCTGTGATCTGCAAGTTTTATTTTTTCATATCTTGAGCTTTGTATATAAATCTCCAGCATTGTCTGAAGATCCTTAGAAAATGTCTCGAGTAATGCTCAAGCTTAAATGCTTATACAATGGCACAATAGCTCAAGTCATTGTCTATATAGATAATGCTCAAGTTATCTAGAAAAACCAAATTATTTTTCAGACATCTATTGGGGACTGGCGAAACCAAAATCGAAAGTACACTGAGTCAACTACTCAA